ACGCCGCTCCCCCACCGGACGAAGCCAAAGCAGCACAGCCACGTCCGCCACCATACCAGTTTTCAAAGGTGATCCACTATAATATAAATTTTTCATGAGAGCTTTTGAGCATGGAATTGAGGAGCGCACAGACAATCCCAAAGACAGACTTCACTTTTTGGAGCAATTTACAACTGGCAAACCACAAGAGCTGGTGCGCAGCTGCCAGTATATGCCACCCAGCAGAGGATATGAGGAGGCAAAAAGACTGCTGAAAAAACACTTTGGAGATGACTATACAGTCGCAACAGCCTACCTAAATAGAGCATTTAACTGGCCAGCTTTAAAGGTGGAAGATGCTGAAGCATTAAAAAGTTTTTCATTATTTCTAAATGGCTGCCTCAATGCTATGACTACTGTGGACTATTTGGAAGAAATGGACCATCCAGCCAACATAAAAACCATAATCTCAAAGCTTCCTTTCAAACTAAAAGAAAAATGGAGATTCAAAGTCTGGGAACTACAGGACCAAAGTAGAAGAAGAGCTAGATTTTCAGATTTGGTGCAGTTTGTGGATAAGCAGGCTCAAATAGCATCTCACCCAGTATTTGGCAGTTTAAAGGACATAACTCCAACTACTAGAGGTAGCTCAAATATGCAGCAAATGCCAAGGCCTGGCAGGGAGAATAGGAGCAAAAGTGGTTTTGTCACTAGTGTAACACCAGTCACAGAGCCCACAACTGAGAGCAACACTTCTCTGGGCACATCTGCTATTAAAGGAGCTAGCAAGCTTTGTTTATTTTGTAATGGGTTACACAAACTTAACTCCTGCTCCAAATTAATGAAGAAAGCCCACAAAGAAAAGTTGGAGTTCCTCAAGAAAAAAGCAGTATGTTTTGGATGTCTGGAGGCTGGACACATGAGCAAAGTGTGTTCTCAAAGGCAATAAAGAGTGAGGCAATAACTGCTCACAAAGACAATAAAGAAAAATCTATCATAAGTGGTCTGTTGGAAATAAAGAATAAAGAACAAGGATTGATTGACATGGGGGCTGATGAATCTGAATCCATCCTGGCTATTGTGCCTGTTAAAGTAAAAAATAAAAGAAATAACAAATCCATCATGACATACATCTTCCTGGATCCAGGCAGTACTGATTGCTTTTGCACCAAGGCACTGCTCAGACAGTTACAACTGACAGGAAGGA